GAAAAAAGATGAGACTTGATTGAGTGACGAGTAACCTGAGAATGAGTATTAGTAGATGGCACAAGAGATGCTAGCTCCTTAGAGCAGCACCCATTATAGCATTTATAAAAAAAAGAAAGAGAAGCAACATTACGACTCAAAAAGGCACAACTACTACTACTACTACTACTACTACTACTACTACTACTACTACTACTACTACTACTACTACTACTACTACTACTTCTACTGCTACTGCTACTGCTACTGCTACACTTACTACTACTACTGTTGCTGCTACTGCAACTACGATTACTATTAAGTTCAGCATTATTATATAGATAATTAAATATAAAAGATTTTGTATTAAATAAATCACATAACTTAATGAATCTTTCTAATTAATTTCTAAAAAACTTGAAGTTGTTTTTTGTACAAAACCAAAATTTTTTTCTGATAAAACAAAAACTTTATCAAACAAAATAATATTTTTTTGAAATGTTGCAATTCTCTTTAATGCTATTTGCCTCCACAAGGTCGCTCTACATTAAAGGATGCGACTTTTTAAAAGTCGCAAAGACTTGATGAGGATTGAATTTATAACTTTTCGTTTATAATGTCTACATTAATACCCTTCAAAGATTTATACTGACTGCAATAAGTTAATTATATAATTGTTTTTTTAAGTGTAATAAAGATTATAATTTTTATGCTGTTGTCATACAGAAAAATTATGCCTGATAAACAGTACAGAATTTATATAAAATAAGAATAAGTAATTTAAAAATATTTAACAAAATTAAAAGAATATTTCATAGAAAATCTTACAATTAAAAATATTTATTTTAAAAAACATCATATATATATATATATATATATATATATATATATATATATATATATATATATATATATATATATATATATATTAGGCGCAGATCCAGCATTTTTTAGTCTTTGAGATAGCTAATTTCCAGACATGGAGCGAATTCCAAACATTTATTTGTTTATGCTTATGTCAAATAAGGAAGGTTTGTTAAAAATTGCAATGATTGGAGCCTGGGAACAAAAAAGCCCCAAAATTTGAGACGTCCCTGCCCCGAATGTGAGAACAACAAGTTGATAAAATATTTTTTGTAATAATATGGCCATAATTTTTGAACGCTAATATATTTTACAATGAAACTTAAAACTTATAGATAAATATAAGCCTAGTTGAGAATATCACAAAAAATATTTTATCTATTTTTTGCTCTCTATCATCGCAATTTTTGGCTCCATGTGTGGAAGTTAGGCGATTCAAAGACCAAAAAATGCTGGATCCGCCCCTGTAAATTTATATATATATATATATATATATATATATATATATATATATATATATATATATATATATATATATATATATATTTATATTAGGTATGCGGAAATCGCATTTTACGGAACCGAATTTCTTCATAAAATTCTGTGCCACATTTTTGGAAGTCTGTTTTGAGGTTGTGTTGTTGGAAGGTCTTTTGAAGCATTTTTTTTCAGGAAATGTATATTGACCTAGATGTTTTTTAAAATGTAGAAGAGTTCAGCTATCTTTTTATGTTACTTTTTTGTATATTTATTAAATTTTATAATGGTTTTATTGATTTTGAAAAATACCTTGCTGTTCTAACATGAAATTTTTTATCTATAGAATGTTGAGTTTTTATTTTAAACTACACTGCATTATTTTTATACCTATTCTCTATCCACTCGTCAAATTTCATTGAAAAAAAATGTATTATAAACTCAAAATATTTTTTTGTCATAACATTAAATTTGTATATGATATACAAATACTATTTACTATAATATAGTATTTATCATATATACAAATAATATATATTATAATATAATATAGTATACTATAGGAATAAAAAAGTATATTATATACTATATTATATATATAGTATACTATACTATATTATATCGTAATATAAATTGTTGTCAAACAAAACCATATAGTCTGTATGGTTTTAGTTAACAACAACAAAGCAAACAACAGAAATTTATCAATTGCAAGTAACTTTTTTTAAAAACAAAGGAAAGATAGCGAGACAATTATCTAACCAAGTATTTTTATTGTTTTATAAATATACCATAAACATTTTATATATAAATTTTTAGCAATTTTGATAAATGCTAAAAATAATACAAATGATTGGTTTTATTTGTTTAAATGATGATACAAATCAAAGACTGAGTCAGTATTTGTGTGTTTTTAGTATTTAACTGTTTGTTTCTAGTATTGAGTTATTTTACTTATATGTCAACCTGGTATATTTTGTAATAAAGTAGAATATAAAGTTAATTTGTTATAATTATTATAATATTTTTGATTAAGAAAATATTAATAAAAATAATTTTTTTATATACTAGGGTGTATTAAACCTTCACCACTACATCCATCCTAACTATAAGATACACTTTTAATGTTTCCTTGGGATGAAAAATGCAATAATAACAACTTTTTGTATGAAAAAACCTACTAACTTCATTTAAGTACACACTTTTATGGATAAAATTTGCATTTATTGGACAGTAAAGGCAGTGGTTTAGTGCCCCCTCTAACTCCCTGGAAGCGCCTGATGACTAGTGACCAACGTAATCACATAGCCCTTTCATACATCTACCTTTTGATACCAAGATGTAGTTTTTTAGATAAGTATTGACAAAATTATAACAATTTTACTGAAGAAAAATTTAATTTTGACCACAGTTTCTTCAACAAAACCATATATCGAAAAATCGGTACTTAAAACATCATAACTTTTGGTAGGTTTGTTGGATTTTGATAATTTTTTTACCTTTAAAATACTGAATTGAAGCTCTGAAAATCTAATGATATATAACATTGTAGTGTATAATCAATTTAAAAATTTCATGTCACATACCTATATATATATATATATATATATATATATATATATATATATATATATATATATATATATATATATATATATATATATATATATATATATATATATATATATATATATATATATATATATATATATATATATATATATATATATATATATATATATATATATATATATATATATATATATATATATATGTTTATATGTTTATATATATATATATATATATATATATATAATATATATATATATATATATATATATATATATGTTTATATGTTTATATATATATATATATATATATATATATATATATATATATATATATATATATATATATATATATATATATATATATATATATATATATATATATATATAAATATATATATATACATATATATATATATATATATATATATATATAAATATTAATATATATAAATATATATATATATATATATATATATATATATATATATATATATATATATATATATATATATATATATATATATATATATATATATATATATAGGTATGTGACATGAAATTTTTAAATTGATTATACACTACATTGTTATATATCATTAGAAAGAGCTTCAATTCAGTATTTTAAAGGTGAAAAAATTATCATTTCTAAAGGTGAAAATTATTATTGTTATTATTATTATTATTATTATTATTGCTATTACTGAATTTAACATGAATAAGCATTTACTTTGTATATTATTACTTTACCTTTAGTTTTAAATTTTTTAACACCCTTGAATTTGTAAGAGCTTCATTCAGAAATAAATTAATTCGTTAGTTAATTCTACATGACAAGAAAACTTCATGTGGCTTATCAAACTTTATAGAATAGGCTATTCTAACTTTATAAAACGTCATTAAAATAGCCCATGACCCACATCAAATTTTATTGTGGCACAATTAGATAACTTACGATGCACTGCGTAGTCCTCGACTTCTAGACTTAAAGTTAACACCACCTTGAATGCAGCAGTACTTTACTTCATAATAAACAAGAGATTCTTTGAGCTCTTTTGAAAGTCTTTTTTTAGCTGCTAATATTTTTCTGGAATCTCTTTTCCATAATTGAACAAAATTCAGATTTTCATATTCCTTTATAAAATTTTGCAGTGATGCAAATGAGTCAAATTTTTGATTTAAATAAAAACTTGCTGAATTAATAGCCTCCATTTTTTATATGTACAATACGAGTAAATGTTAGATTTTCAATTAACTTATAATAACTTTTCAACTAATGTAAATTTATGCAATTCAACGATTTCACTAACTTCAAGTGTTAATTTTACCGATTTCTCTTAACTTTTCAATCAATCGACCAATCAAGCTTCGCTGCCGTGACTAAATAAACTAACCAATCAGATTTCTCTGGAGAAACTATAAATTAACCAATCAGAGCTCACTACCGTAACTTTAAGGAATGAAATTAAAGCAACGGTACCGTTGCGCGAGCAACAGCGTTTATTTAATTTGACATAAGTAATTTCCGCATAATTACGTATAATTTTCAAGTGGACTTTGATCGCCTTTTGAGTTCGATAACCTACTCTTACAAACTTGTAGTAATGTTGCGAAGCTAAAACTTGGTACCAAAGGAGTTTAAAACCTGGTGAATCTGAGAAAATCATAAACTTATATCTCTCAAAACAATAAAATATAGTTTATTTTTAGATCCACAAAACGCACTTGTTAATGACAATAAAAAAGGCCATTGACAACTATAGTTCTAGAAAAAATCTGAGTGATGAAAAAAAGTTTTGGTTTTCGTTATTTTTAAATATTAAACATATATCTACTTTGCGAACCAATTTTTATTTGGCCTTATGTTTTATCAAGGAGTTATTGATGTTTTAGTTTTTCAATTTTTCTAAGGATATTTTGCAAAAAAAAAAAAAAATTTGCAAATATATTTTCAATACAAATACAATTATTTTTGTTTTGTAATAGCTTTGTAAAAAATTACAAAGTTATTACAAAACATAGTTGAACATTTTATAAATTTGTTTCTTTCTACTTTCATTACATAATAATAATGACATTTTCATTACATAATATCGTGTCATTAAATTTAACAATATTATGTAACTTTTTTTGGATTGTTTTGTTGTAATAAAACATTTATTATCATCAATAAAAAATGTAATAAAATGGTATAATAATGTCTAATTATCATTACCATGTTAACTTTTTGTAAGTAGTTAATAGAGAGTTTACAATAATTAGTAGATAGTTAGGCCTTTAAAATATGTCTATTAAACTAATAGCTACTTGTTCAAGCAATATGTTCGTTATAAATACATATTGATATGATATTGTTTGTGTTCAAGTGTACTTTTCTTGTTAGGGACATTAAGATTATTTAAGATTTCTTGTATTAAGTGTTTAGACAGAAATTCCTCATTATATTTTTATATGGATAACAAAATTAATTGCTGCTTTGTAAATAATTATGGAGCTTGTTATAAAAAATCGTAATCTCATGATAGAAATCTGATCGAAGATATTGACAGCAATGACCGTAAGCTACTTGAAAAACAAACAAATCTGAAACAAGAACAAATTACTAATATACGCACACACCATCATGATATGTTAGTTGTAAGATATGAGGGTAATCAAAGTTGCTGTAATCCATTTCTGAGTCACCAAAAGGTGTGTAGAGGTAAAAATTTATATATTTATATTTCATTAGGTAATATCATTATTTATAAGTCATATAAGTTTTTTTTGGTAATAAGATTTGTTCAATGTTTCATAGTTATTAATATAACAAATTGTATAGAAATATAATTACATAATATATATAATTAATGTTATTTAAGTAATGTAATTACTTTCTTTTTAAGCACCTCTACGTGTGATTACAATGCATACTGTGTTAGAAGCAGAAACCATAGGTTTAAATCTTATACCTGGAAAAAAACTGTGTCCAACCTGTCGAAGTAAAGTTATGACATGTTTATCAAAAAGTATAAGTGAAAATAAAAATGATGAAGATTTTGATATTGTTAATGAAAGATCCATTCAAAATAAAAAAAGAAAGTGTAGATGCACACTTTGCATCTGCCGGAGTATCTCCAATTAAGGTCAAAGGGTTGCACAAGTCAGGTAAAATCAGAGAAGGTAAACGAAAATTGACAGCATTAACAACCTCCATTAAAAAAGGTAGTCATTTCCCTTAATATATCAGAAGAAACTTTTGAAGAACAGTCAAGTTTTAATAATGAGTATATGGAAAAAGCAAACTTGTTTGATAACATGATGGTATTGATAACTAACAAAATTGCAGAGTCTACATCAACATCAAAAAAAGTACAACTTGCGACACTTGCTCCAACAGACTGGTTAATAAAAAAGGTATCTGAAACATTGCATGTAACAAACTATGTAGCTTGAACTGCATGTAAGTTAACATTAGAAAAAGGTATTTTAACCATGCCTAATTCTATATTAGGAAAAGCTTTTCCTGATGTAACAGTTCAATTGGTCAAGACCTTTTACGAAGACGATGAACATAGTCGTATAATGCCTGGTAAAAAGGACTATGTAAGCATAAAGAGAAATGTCCACATGCAAAAACGTTTGCTCTTATGTAGTTTAAAGGAATTGTTTGTTGCCTTTAAAACCAAGAACCCAGAATTAAAAATAAGATTTTCAAGATTTTGCACTTTGCGACCTAAATGGTGTATTATTGTTGGTGCCTCAGAAACACATTCTGCATGCGTCTGTGCTATTCATCAGAATTTGAAACTGTTTTTACATCCTCTTGGTGTGACATACAAAGAATTGTTAACTTATATTGTCTGTGATATAACTAATAAAGACTGTATGATAAGGAAATGTGAAAAATGCCCAACAACTATGAATGCATTGGTTGAAAAACTTTATGATATACTTGGAGAATTTGAAGATGATGATAAGATTGAATTTGATCAATGGACAACAACAGATAGGTCAAACTTGACACATAATAAAGAGCCAGTGTTTGAATACATTGAACTAGTATGTAGAAAACTGGAAAAACTTGCACCACATTCGTATTTAGCAAAGAGTAAAGCATTATACCTGAGATTAAGAAAGGAAGATATGAATGATGAATGAGGTAACAGCATTATTTCTGGGTGATTTTTCAGAAAACTATAAACTTGTTGTTCAGGATGAAGTGCAATGCTTTCATTGGACAAATTTACAATGTACACTTCATCCAGTGATTTTTTATTTCAAAAAAACAGGCATTCTCAAGCACAAATCCTATTATATTATTTCGGATGATATGATCCATGATGTGAACATGATTTATAAAATTATTGAGGTTGTTTGCAATGATATAAAAACAAATTTGCCTCAAATGAAAAATATTGAATACTTTTCAGATGGGTGTGCAGGTCAATATAAGAATTGCAGACTTTGGTTTTACTGCTAAATGGAACTTTTTTACCACTAGTCATGGTAAGCAACCTTGTGATGGGATAGGTGGTACAGTCAAACGTCTGGCAACACTAGCAAGTTTGCAAAGAGATATGGATAATCATTTTATCTCCACAAACAATGTATAAATATTGCAATGAAAACATTGAAGGCATAAATTTCATATATATTTCATCAGAAGATTTAACTTTGGTGAAAACCACTCTTAAAGAACGATTGGATACTGCTACTACAATACCTGGAACACGTAGTTACCATCAGTTTGTACCACTTGGCCATCAAAAGGTAAATTATTATTTTTAAATTATACCTTTTGCCATATTTTAAAATAAACGTATAACTTTTATTGATAAACTCAAATAGATATTAGATTTTTGCAGAATCATTATCAAAAATATTTGTATTTTATTTTATTTCCTTTGCATTTGTTATCTATGCATTTAATAAAACATGTTTGATAAGTAAAACGGAATAATTGCATATCTTACTATTTTGTTTAGGTTGGCACTAAGCTATGCAGTGTTGATGAAGAATTTGCTTTAGTTCATGACTTTGGAAATATCCAGATAACAACTGTAAACCTAGTACCAGGTGATTATGCCTGTGTTTCCTATCAGCAAAAGTTGTGGATAAGAGTCATTGAAGATACTAATTTAGAAGAAAAAGATGTGCTTGTAAAATTTATGTGTCCTAATGGTCCTGCACGGTCGTTTAAATGGCCACCAAAGGAAAGCCAATGCTGGATTCCTGATGTCCACATTATTTGCAAAGTTGAGGTACCGATAACAAAAACAGGACTTTGCTACTATTTAGCCAAAGAGGGCTTAAAAAAAAATATTTTCCTAAGGAAGTAGAGATTTCTATATTTATGAGTCTATTATGTCCTATCCATTCTTTTTTTAAATATTATGTTTTGTGAACCAACTTGTAAATAATGTAAATGTAAAGCATAAATAAAATCACTAAAAAAAAAATTATATACGTTTAAATTTTGTTGTAAATATCATATGAAATGAAAAAGATAATAAAGTCACTAAAGTTTTAGTTTCTAATTTGATTGATTGGTAAAAGGTGGGGTTATATTTAGTGTCTAATTTAAAAAATATTAAAAAATTTTGTGTCTATATTAAACATGAATAATTCCTCAAGTTAATATAAGGCCAAAACATAATTGGTTCGAAAAGTAGGTGTTGATCTTATTTTTAAGAAAATCGAAATTAAATTTTTTTTATATCAGTCAGATTTTTTTTATAGCTATAATATTTATATGGATCTTAAAATAAGCTACATTCCCTTGTTTTGACATATAAAAAACTATATTTTTCGAATTTAACAGGTTTTAAACTCTTTTGGTACAAAGTTTCAGAATAGTGGCATCACTACAAGCACCTAATTAAGATGAAAGTAAACGGAATGATTTTCGGCACTTTTCCCCCCTCAATTTTTAGTCAAAATCAAGGAAACTTCAAATTGCTGTAAATTATAAAAGGAAAGGAATTTTATGAAAAAAAATTACAATCTTTCCTAACATATGTCTCTAAACATTTGTGCCAAGTTTCAAAAATTTTGGTGATGTAGGGTGCAGATTTGTGTTTTTTTGTGTTTTTTGAGAAATTTTTACCCTAAATCAAATTTAACTTGTAATATAGAGAGGTGAGGACGGAAAGGGGACGTAACGGCATACAAAATATCCTCATCAAGTCAATTTAGATTTTTAAACATGCTTAATCATTTTATATAATAGTTAACATATTTAATAGGTTTTAAACTTTACCATATTCAATAATAACAATAAAATTAAAATATCTGCATTGGACTATGAAACGTTAAAAACAGTGGTTTCTCTTTTTATATTTTTATAATGTTTTATTGCAAACTTTTCAACTCTTAAAAAAACTTACTCTCTACACCGCAAGTTGTTTCTTTATTTGTATAATATCAGTTTGCTCAGCTCTCATTTTAAATCCGTTTGCCAACATTTATCTTTTGCAAAGCATTTGATTATCCAAGTAACTAAGCCAATTTCTTCTATTACATTGATTTGTTTTATTACAAGATACTTCTTTCAATTGTTGTTTTAGTATTTCCATGTTGCAACCTATTTTAAAACATTTCATGCGACTCATGTCTTTAGCCGTAAAAATTTTTTATTAATTTTATGGAACAAGATAGTGTTTGAGTGAGACGAGTTGATTCTTTAATTCCACAGCAATATCTGAAAAGACACAATACTCAGCTTGTTTTTGTTATTAAGTGACATAGCTCATAGTACTTTCAACTTCATTTTTTTTGCTCGTAGAAATGTAAAGTTCATAAGTGATATCCATTCTAGGTTTAAAATATTGATCAAGTTTTTCAAATATTCACCACGTACATTTTTGCAAGGTAAGCATCTTTTTTTCATCTATTTAACAAGATTATTGTAAATTTTGGTTGGAACTCTTCTCCAAATTGTATCTAGTTTTTTGGTTTAGGCTATTTTCTATTGATCTTATTCGGATCTTGATCTTTTTAGATCCTTTCAAAATATTTGAAAAGGTTTTAAATGTTACTCAACTGATCATGATAAACAATTTTATGCAAATTTTTATAAAAAATATAGAAACTAATACCCCGTTCATACTGACGATAAAACACGTTTGATTTTAAACGCGTTTTAAGTTTAATTTATAAACTGTATTAAATAACAATAAAACAACATGGCGAAGATGTTTTATATTGACAAAAAAGTCTTGCAGTTTTAAAATTTTTCAAAATTTGTTATATTGCTGTTTTGCATTATTAATTTAATACGCTTTTAAAATAAAGCGTCAGTATGAACGGGTATCACATAAAATAAAAAAAATTTAACATATATTTTGAGAAGAAAAATACGTTAAAAAGAACGGAAATTAATTCAAAACGTTTGCTTTTTATTTATTTGTTTTTTTTTGTAACTTTTTCCAGTATGTTTTTGTATTTCTTTGATAAAACTAAAATAATAAAAAGGTAACACTAAGTGAACTTGTTATTGACACCTTAGTTATAACAAAATAGTTTCCTTTTGAACAAAAAATAAATTAAATCTTTACCAAATATGGTTATTTTTTTATTATGTTAGAAAAAAAAGTGTGAAATAAATATTTTACTGCGCCAATTTTTTTCGATATCATTGTACACATATTTTATTTTTGATTATTAATAAATCGATATAAAATCATATAATTATTGAAGTTAAATTTTGGTTTAAAAACATAATATTGTTGTTCGGAAATATATTACATATTTAAACATTCAAAATGTATATAAATAAGAACTACATATAAAATTACACCAACTTCGCAAGATACATTCCGTAAACAATTACAAATAATAGTTGTAGACTATTTAAGCGTTAGTCAATCCGGATGAGTTTATTTTTAACATTAATAGTTATACGGTTCTTAATACATTACCTAATCCATATTTCCGTATTTATATATAGGGCTTCTAGTTTTAAAGTATGGTCTGCAATTCCGATATAAAGTAATGAATTTAAAACTTCATCAATTTAAAACTTCATCAAGACAATTCACGATTTATTTAAAACAAAGTTTTAAAGATGTTTTTTTGTTTACTTTATCAACTTTTTAAATTGATTTGCAACGTTTTTGCTAATAAAGTATTTACATAAATTATATATATATATATATATATATATATATATATATATATATATATATATATATATATATATATATATATATATATATATATATATATATATATATATATATATATATATATATATATATATATATATATATATATATATATATATATATATATATATATATATATATATATATATATATATATATATATATATATATATATATATATATGATCTGTGTGTGCATGTAGTTATTATCGATTATAATAAGTAATAACCAATATTATAAAGTTATAATGATGGACAAAAAACTTTAAAACATTTTTCAAATGTCATTTTTTAGTTATAGGATAATAAGTATGATTTAATAAAACATTATAACTTATAACGACTTAAGTTTAACTTGATTCATTCAACATTAATTAGAAAAGAATAAGTTAAGTTATTAAGTCACCCTATGAATTGGGGAGGTATAAACGCTATGGTGTAAGCCCCATATATCAAGGAGGTATAAAATGCATTGTGTAATTCCTATAAACTGAGGAGATGTAATAATACATTAATTAAAAGGTTAAATGACTAAAATTAAAAATCCTAGAATAGAAATTCAAAATGTTGAAAAACGTTAAACAAGTTTTTATTCAGCTTAACTATTTTTTTTTCATTGCTTACAGCTTAACATTTTTTATTCATTAACTCTATAACTTAACAAATAATATAGAAATATATCAAACATAATAAATTGTAATATAAACTAGTATAAAATAATTATCATAATTGTAAATATTATAGAATGATTATCATAGTAATATTTAGAGCATTATTTCTATTGGATAAACAAAAAACAATAAAATGAAGATAAACGACTTTAATAGAATTTTATATAAGTAATAAGAAATTGTTTGCAGATTAAAGATGCTATTTATAAATTTATAAAATTCAAGAAGAATATGGAGACATGACGAGACTTGGATATTGTTAAAGTTTTTTTCTTTCTGTTTGCAAAATAAATATATTTACATGCATTTTAAGATATAAAATAAATAAATATTTACAGTTAATTTTTTTTGGTTAAAAAGTAAAAACTATACTAATATATTGTTTATAAGGAATGCTAAAATATAAAAAAATGTAGATAATTTTTTATTTATAATTTATTCATCGGATGCAACTTTTGTTTGTATCTGATGGTATTAATATAAACTGTGATGACGTTTGACCAGGTGCTGTACGCCTTACATCGCGAACTTTCCCGTTAGCTTTTAAATTTAAAAATAAATCGTAATGTTCATTTATATAGTATTTTACTGAAGCAAATGTTACGTAACCGTTTTCTTCCATGTAATGATAGAATAAACATTCGTCATTTTTGGAAGGCTAAAATAAAGAGGAATAAATATTTAAAAAATTCGAAACACAGGCAATAATAATCAAATATAAAAAAGCGACCACCAAATATATAAAACAATCTACAGTGTGAATAAAATGTTATTTTTAATTTTAAAAAGATTTTTAATCCGTACAGGTTCTACTTACCGTTACTATTATTTCTCCTTTTTCATTAATGGCTATATAATTTTCTGTAGCGAAATGCCTCAGCATGACGATGCTTGTAGCGTAAGATTGAATCTCAAATAGCCCTTTATTGAAATAAAAAAAATATATTCAGATGCATAATACCAATAATGTGAAACTTAAATTGAGATCTACTAATCTTGAACTTATTTATAGTTTAAAAAAAGTAGCATAAAAATGTATAGTCTACCATTGATGTCATTATCTTTTTTCATTCCTGCAACTTTTTTGTTAATAATACCAAGATTCATGCCGTTTCTACGACGCGCATAAATTAAACGACAATTTGACCAATACTTTGTTTGGTAAGGTGTATCTTTATTTTTTAATATTGGTTTCACTAATTTTTTCCGTTTTAACGTAGGTTCCTGGGCCAAAATCCACTCTTTAATTATGCTACTTTTAACTTCTTCGATTTCTAAAATTGGTTCTTTTGTTAATGTTGGTTCACTCGTAACAAAATAGATAAAAAGCTATTAAGAAAGAAAAACAAGTTTTTAAGTCAAAAAAGAAAACAGACAAAATGTATTATTACTGGAGTAGAAATATAAATAGCGTGGCAAAATTTTCTTACCATATATACGCTGTAGTTAATCATGTCTTGATACCTTAATTTGCCACGCTATACAAGAGAACCAAGTAAGATATTGATTTCCTCGCAATGATGAGAGTTATAAAGGTTAAGGATATTGCCAAGACACCGGAACCAAAAATATGATTCTGATTCGTAGGCAAATTTAAATAGCGCTATTTTGCATAGAATTACAGGCGTAACGGAAGAAGCATTTTAAAGTTTAAAACAATAAACTGATTTAAAAAAATTCTTTTCCTATTTTTATGTTGTGTTACGGAAACGCTAAAAAATCTTTAATTTCCTGAAAGCGGAAAAATCGTCACTATAGTGAGAATACCGCAGACTGTAGTAGAAACAATCATTTATAGATAACCATTTTTTAATTAAAGTTGAAAATACCATTTTTTTGTTGTTATATTAATTTAAAAGTGATGCAACTATTACGCAACAAAAAGTGACGTAATTGGAATAAACTATAGAATACAAAAAATTTTAATTTATTAATATAGAAATGTCTTCTAAAATTTCTATTAGTAAATTACCTCCAAAATTAACTGATTCTTTAAACTTTACGCATAAGTACATGTTATCTCATGCGTCATAAAAATTTAATACAAAGATATTTTTTATACGCAACTTTTTATTTTTTTTACTCGTGTTACGGAGGGGCAGACCCCAATCCAGCCTTTTTTTTTCATTATTATTCAAACCAATGATATGTCTTATATTATAGCTATATAATATAGAATAGGTAATAGAACTGTTTCTAGATGCGACTAATACAATTGCACAAAAACGTGTAAAGATTTTTATTCTTTTATTAATTTTTAACTTAAGATAACTTCAATATAAGAAAAATAATAAAAAAAATACGTGTTCCATAAAGATGTTTAAATTAAATTGAGACAACATTATTCTAAAATTCACATTGATTTTTTTTTTGCATAAAACCTCTGACGACAATGTGGGTTGCTTTTAAGATGTTTCCTTGAGCCCTGTTAACTTTTTCACAAAGAAATCTTAATTATAAGATGTTATTAAATTATTCTTTGGCTTATTTAAACAAGTAATACAAAGTTACCACATAATTGTTTTCCGGAAATTACCGTAAAAAATATATTTTAAATTAATGATCACTTTTAATGACATCTCGTGGGAAAAGCAAAATAAAGTTTACTAACTACTATATAATAGGTAGCCAAACATTCCAAAATATTTTTTTTATAAAAAAACGATTCGCTGTATTAAAAAATCTATCGGCATAATTAACAATGTTAGTTAGTTTTTATTGCATAACTTTACAAAGGTTATGCAATACGATTCAAAAATATAAAAAATGCAACATTTTATAACTTTCAATAACTTGTTAAAGAAACTTTTTTTTAATTTCTTTAAAAAGCAATAAAGTTAACAACAATGATATCTGCAAAAAGTAAATTTATCCCATTCCATAAACCTAGTAAACCCAATAATATTCTTCTTAAATACCTTACTTTTCAACCAAAAAATAATAACTAAAAAGGAATTGATTACAAGCTTCCTATGAGTGATATTTTAGATATATGTAAACATATTTTATATGTTTTCATAACACGAAAGCATATAAAGTACGCTTTCATCTTATGTACATCAAAACCCTTTCTTAATAATGCATTATTTAAAAACACTAATTTTTTAAAAACTATTAATTTTAATATTATTAATTTTATCATTCTTTACTGTTTCATATTTTAAAAGTACTATTCGTATTTAACTTAAAATAATTTATAGTAAACAAATAGTAAACATGGTAATATTTGGGGCGAACAGAAATGCATATTGAAACCCTCTCCATTACGTGAACTTGGGGTTTTAAACATAAGCTAATTAGATGATGCCATTTATGTTTAAAGTAAAACGTAATTATGATTAAGATTTTTTTTTTTCCAGGTATACCATATAAAATATACACTTATTATCGTGAAAAAAAGAAAATATATATACAAAATTAAATCAAAGAAGATTCAGCATTTTTGGGTATAAAACTTTAAAAAAAAAACTTTTTGCAGATCCCCTTAACATTTGGCGTATATCTTTGTTTACTTAAAAAGTTAATTTAAGTAAAATTGTATGTTGCAAACATTGGAAGCATTTCAGCCTAGCTCTAATAAAGTTAGATATAGTTACTATATCACAATTTTAAAGATTAACTTATCATTTCTTTAACCAATCTTAAAATAAGTTTTATCAAAATTCAATACTAAAGTTTTTTTTGAAAAACTTTCCTTGTGTTTTGAATGAAAATGTCTAAAACTGCACTTAGAAAACTTTAAGATTGAATTAAAACGACATTTACGTCGTCTTCAAGATCCCGGCGGGTAATCGGCGTACAACTAGCTAGTGATATTCATAGCAATAAAAACTGACATTTTTGGACAACGAGGATTGTTAGTTACATAACCTAGCAACTAGCTAGCGAGAATTCGTAACTATAAAGAAAGTTGTTTGGCCACGAGGATTGCTTCCGATGCTTGTAAAATACGTTTTAGGGGCCGTTTATAAACAACGTCACGCAATTTATTGTAGTTTTTAACCCCTCCCTCCCCCTCGTCACAAGTTGTCACAAATGTTTAGACTCCCTTAGAATATTACGTCACAAAGTGATGACCCCCCCCCCCACCTCTTGGATAAATGTTCATAAATACTCAACTGCTGTTCTAAATTGTCTTTTTTCATTTTCTCTTCTTTCAATTCAACATCTTGTTTAAATGAAAAGCGTTTCACGTTTTTGTTGCTAGCACAAACCGAACTTAAAATTTCATTCTGGGTCTGCAATTGCTGGGGCAATTCTATATTTCTGAGCGGGCAGTACTAGGTTTAGGTTCTAATTCATCACTGACAATATCGGTATCTTTTTTATCAAACTGCAAATTTGAATTTAAAAGATTTTTGTTATGCACATTTATAGTAGAAGGTTTATTAGTAGATAATGTTTGTTCAGCCCGAAATGTTGGGAGTGTTCCTTTTTTTGCTTGTAGAAAGAGCATTTAGTTCTTGAAACCAAATGATCCACTTTAATTTGTAAATTTCATCAACTTTAATTTCATTCCACTTCTGAATTGATTTTACTTGAAAAGCCTTTGTGCTCTTTGTAGGATATGGTAAAACGTACACGTCAAAAATACGTTTATTCTATGAATAGAATTTATCGGCGCTTACAAATCAGATGCGTCTAAAAATTAATTGAGAAACAAATTTTAAAATGTGGTCGAGAAACATTTAATACGTACGTTTAAACAGCTACTTTCAAATACTTTTTTATATTAAATTTTTTACGTTATTTTGTTTTATGGTAAAATGTGAACTTTTTTATATGTAAATTTTTGTCACAACTTAACACGTGAGTGCATTAAGTCTAATAAAAGATCTCATTGCATCATTTCAAATTTTATTTGTTTAGAATTTCATTTTAAAAGTAAATTATATATATATATATCGTCACAAAAGACTGGACCCCTCCCTCCCCTAGATGCGTGACGTTGTTTATGGACAGCCCCTTAACAAAGTTAAAATGATATTGAGCTTGACGTCATCCTGATTTTTAGGCAGTGGTGTACGACTCGCTCGATTTCTTGTAATTCGACGAACGGGGGATGTCTAGTACAGCCAGATTTGTAAACAACAATACGCATGTAAATACGTTTTGACAGAACAATGCTTTTGTAAAGATGGTTTAACTTATTTTTAAACAATAATAATATAATAAGATGTAGTACCAATCTTTTATTACTTGTAAACTAAATGGTTTATTTTGAAAACGCTGGAATATGTTAGTATAAAACTTTTTATAGCATTTAAAGCTTGTATTTTTGTTATATTTTGAACAATAAAAAATAACATTCAATTTTATTTTTAATGTTCAAAATATAACAAAAATACAAACATTAAATGCCATAAATTAAATGTCATACTATTTTATACTTATATATTACAGCTTTTTCAAAATTGTATATTGCTATACTGTTTACAAACAATGTAAAAATCATTGTAACAATCATTTAAACAATGTAACGTTGTTACAAATGTTACATTGTCTAACGAAGTAAACGTATTAGTTATATGAACTTGTTTTTTTTTTCAATATATGTACGTTTTAATTCTTAACTACCCTCTGCAGTATGCTAGAAGGTTTATAATATAACTGTATGGTAGACAGCAATCAGGGTTTCAACTAAACATAAGAAAAAAATTTAACAACCCTAAAAAAATGCTATATTATAGTTTTGTAAATGTTTCAATATTTAGACATTTTATTTAGTAGCCTAAAATTATACAACTGCTGTATGAATTGTTTATTGAGCTCTGTTAGTATAAAACAACTCAAACGTTCCTTCTAGTTTTGATGTTTTCAATATTGTTTTTTTATACTTTTATATATGTTTTTGTTATTTTTATTTTCCTAATCTTATATATAATATAAAAAATTTAAAGGATATTAGAATTTATAAATTCAATTTAGTACATTATAAACACATTTTTTAACTAAATATAATCTTTTATATTTATGAGTAATACAAGCCATTTTTTTAGGGCATTTTTTATAATGTGGAGCTGTCACGATTGTAAAATTTGATGAAATAATAAATTTGAATATCAACAAAATAGTGTATCAGTTTTCACTCCAAATGCGATGCATGTTTTGGGTGAAGGTTGTATAAAAAAACGAAATTGCAGTCTTTCTTAATAGCTTTAATGATAGTTCCTGCTATATTTTTGCATACAATTATTTTATTAATGTTGTTAATGAAAATGGCTTCCATTACTCTTAAACTTCACGTAAACAAGAACTTGGTGCTACTGAATGATTTTTTGTTTCATATTTCTTAGTATAAACAAATTCATCAAAATTACCACAGATTTCAGCAGATGGTGGAGATAAAATATTTTTGCATAATTGACAAAGAAACTTTTTTAATTAGCCAACCAGCAAGAGAACATAAACTCTGTTCTACAGTTTCTGAACATATTTGTAATTTCAAATCCTTAATTAGTATCAAAGGTTTTACATTACCTATGTGAGTTGACTTTTGTTCATTGAATAATGAGTTATTCGCTACATTACTTTGTTCATTTACTAAATTAAGACATAAGTCTAACGATATTGCTGCAGTGAAATCAGATTCTGAAACACAATTTGTATTAGACTTTGTTCAACAGAAGTAAGTAGTAAAGCATTTTGGAATGCAGACTTGAATTGTTTGGCTGTTGGCCTGTCATTCCAACCACCTTTACTTCTTATAATCGAAAAAAAAATTCCCTGATTG